GCGTGGAGCGGGTGTATGGCCTCAGGCTCCACACGGCTCTGCCGCTTTGAAATGCCGGGAGGAGCCTAACGCTGAGCTCCCATGGCAGCATTTCAAAGCAGCAACACCGCATGGAGCCGGGGTCTGGCCTCAGGCTCCACACGGCTCTGCCGCTTTGAAATGCCGGGAGGAGCCTAACGCTGGGCTCCCATGGCAGCATTTCAAAAGAGCTGCCGCTTTGAAATGCCGGGAGGAGCCTAACGCTGAGCTCCCATGGCAGCATTTCAAAGCAGCAACACCGCATGGAGCCGGGGTCTGGCCTCAGGCTCCACACGGCACTGCCGCTTTGAAATGCCGGGAGGAGCCTAACGCTGAGCTCCCATGGCAGCATTTCAAAGCAGCAACACCGTATGGAGCCGGGGTCTGGCCTCAGGCTCCACACGGCACTGCCGCTTTGAAATGCCGAGAGGAGCCTAACGCTGGGCCCCCACGGCAGCATTTCAAAGCAGGAACACCGCATGGAGCGGGGTCTGGCCTCAGGCTCCACACGGCACTGCCGCTTTGAAATGCCGAGAGGAGCCTAACGCTGGGCCCCCACGGCAGCATTTCAAAGCAGGAACACCGCATGGAGCGGGGTCTGGCCTCAGGCTCCACACGGCACTGCCGCTTTGAAATGCCGAGAGGAGCCTAACGCTGGGCCCCCACGGCAGCATTTCAAAGCAGGAACACCGCATGGAGCGGGGTCTGGCCTCAGGCTCCACACGGCACTGCCGCTTTGAAATGCCCCCTCCGGGGGGGGGGAAGCTAACTAGCGAACTACTGAGCAGAGCATCCGATAAACATTTGCTAGTCGACTAGTCCTTGACATACGGAGGGGGCTCCCAGGAGCCTGTCCCCTCCTACAGGCAGGCCGAAGGCACCGTCGCACTCCCCCCCGGCCCACCGCCGCGGCTCTCACCATTCTCCTGTGCAGCTTCCTCTGCACGGCCATCCGCTCCTTCACCTGCTTCCAGTACAGAACCTCCAGATCTGCCAAGACAGTGGGAGCTTGGGGACTGCCCGCCAGGGCGCCTGGCCCGGTCCTGGCTTGGCTGCAGACTGGCTGGGGTCCCCCCTCGTTCCAGGACAGACACCCTACCAAAGCGCAGCAGCGGGTGGGAGAGGCCTGCTCCAGCCAGCTGGGCATGCAGCTCCCATTGCTCTGCAGTGGGACAGCCAGCTGGGCATCCTACCCCATCCAGTGCAGGCCAAAACCCCCCCCCCCCCGC